TTTTTTCTTTTTGACTAGGGGCGAACCCCAGCGAAGTGAGAGTTAGTTGTTTGTAGATACTTAATAAATACAAGGAAAACAAAAAATTTCACTGAAAATGAAGTATACCAGGCATATAAAAAATTTAAAATTATTAGCATTGCCCGCGGCTCCGCCCGCGTTCAGGTGACCAAAAAGCAAATTCTTAAGTTTTACATAGGTGTACTCTTACAATGCAGTTTTTGTATTTTTTCTCAGAAATGAGATATATTCCCGGTAAAAAGTATCCTATACGTTGACCCGGATAACCAGCTATCACCATACCAAATTCAAATTTCATCAAAATCCCTCCAATGGTTTTTCTGTGATGCGGTAACAGACAGACAGAGAAACAAAAATTGTAAAAACTATAGATTCGGCCTCTGTATCGATAATAATGTCTATTTCAATAAGATTTTCCAAAAAATATTTAATGTACAGATTCGGCTTAGTTACATTATTTTATTATATGTATAGATAATTATCATATGAGATTTATAGGCGTAATCGCGGTTAACCAGTATATGACTCGAATCCCGGGGGAGAAGCCAACTCCTACCGGGCGCGTCCCCAGGTGGCGGATAGGGGAATGCCACCCGCTTAGGGCGGCGGGTGGTACCGGAGAAATCCGGCGCGGACCAAATGGCTTGGATGGGGCCGCTCGTCTAGGCCTCGAGCCGAAGACGTTGCGGCCACCGGTGGTGGGACCGCTTGGTCCCACAACCGGATGATGGGTGCCGGTTGCGGGACTGTAGTCGCAGGCCCGCATCCGGCGGAGGAGTAGGCCGCGGCGGGAGAGGAGTGCCGGTATTTCGGTGCGCCGTTCTCCCTACCTTCCGCGGCCTAGACGGGGCCGCCACCGTTTGATGGCGGACGCGGTGGGGCTGCAGGGGAAGAGGAGTGTCGGTGTTTCGTTGCCGCTCTCCCTGTCCTCTGCAGCCGATTGGAGGTGGCCCACTTCGGTGGGCTGTGGTTAGGTTTAATGGGGCTGCTCCGGGTACCTCTCTGGCGTAGCAGAGTTGACTGTGGAGCAGCCCCATTGGTTTGGTGGTCTGCCTTTTTAGGCAGACCTGCCGCCGGGGCGCCGTAGTAGTTATGCGCAAGCGATCCTGCGGCGTCCCATTAAGGCGGAGGGGAGGGGAATGTCGGGTTTTAGTGGGTAGTACCGGCTCTTCTAGCCGGTGAGCCCCACATCACCACCTGGGGGATCAGGTGGTATGCGTAAATGCATTTCCCGACATAAAAAAAAAAAAAAGGTATATGACTCGAAGCCCATAGAATGATTGTTCGAATGATAAATTGTGTAAAATATAATGTTAAATTCTTCTCAAGTGTACGTCATTTACACGTTTGATGAATCACGAAATTTACGGCCATGCTATATCTCATTATTATACCGAATAACTTGAATGGACGTATGAATTAATGAATTCATATTTCAGCAGCAATAAATATATAATTTTTACACTGTGGATACTAATATAAATTCAACAAATGGAAATCCGTATTGTTAAATTTTCAAGTTATGTTGAAATATAATCTTTTTTATTAAATACATATCTAAATAAAGACTTTTTTAACATTCTTCGCTAACTTTTACTTTTCCTTTGATGCTTCAGCGGAGTAGGCATTGCCAATTAACTTATAACTTTAGATAATTGTACGAGAACATTTTGTAAATAAATATGTATAATATATCTTAAACGTCGGGGCACAAGGCTGTTGTTTTAAAGTGAAACGTCTTTTCAGTTAAAGATTGTGAAGAGGAATTAACGAAATCGTTACGGTCCATTTTTCTGACTTGGTACCCGTATGTTTCGGTGTGATTTTAAACACGTTTCATATCAAAAAATACGTGCTGGAACTTGGACAGCTTCAATGTGACTCACAGGTAAACTTCGATTACTTGGATTAATTAAAAACAGCGTATAGAATTACAGTAAAGTATACAGTATAACAGATTGTATTTTGATATTTACGAGCGAAACCATCGTCGTTGCAAGGTCGTTGGTCATGCGATTCATTTCCGCAACCGGACACCTTATGCACAACGCTGTATTTCTTACACATTTTATATTATTAGACTGCTATTGGTCGATCTTGACTCTCTATATTGCCTTTCTAATATGAGCCTAGACTGTTGTTTCTAATTTATTGCACTATAAAATTTCCACAAAGGGTCTTTGATTAGTTTCACTCGTAACGATTTTTTTAATAACGCAATAAAATAGCTTTTCACTTCGCAATACGAGATGTCATGAACTAAATATAATTCTTCTCTTCTAATAATATATCTAGAAATATTATTAAAATTATTAAAAAAAAAACTTTTTACAGAACCAAAAATCACAGATCTTAGATAACTAAAAAAAAGTGATAATCAATCACCTAAATGCATGCTTCATGTTTTGTACATAGATATTTCAATTTTCTTTGTGGTAGCTAGAATTTACAAACAACCCTAAATGTTTATAAATAGTAATAAAGTGTGTGAAATACTTGCAGCAATAAAACATTAACGTTATGTGTTTTGACCTTAGATCAAATAGTTTCCGAGTTTATGAGTCACGTATAGCCACAACACGATAGAGTGAGTCAATATTAGAATATTTTTCATTGAGAAATAGTGCTTTAGCGTAAGCGTATTACGATACAATTATTTTGGACTAAAGAATACTAATTTAAATAATTATTAGATATTCTTAGTGTAATTTTTAAATATTGAATCATTAGTTAGTATTATAACACAAATATACAATGCTTCATTGCATTGTAACTTAAAGTAAAGAGCTCTAAATACAAATACTTGACAGAATGAACAAGATAATAATACATCATGTGTGTTGTATTTAATAAATAGGATAGTGAGGAATTATCAATATATTAAATAATAATATATTAAAAACTCACAAACTTTACGTCTTTCTAATATTAGTATAGACTAGTGACTCACCCTCGCTTTGCTCGGCTTCGTCTCTAGGCACGTTTGAATGGTTAATATGGAATACATAGGCTATATATTATATGATATATAGCCTTCCTCAATAAACGGGTTATCTAATGCAAAAAGAACTTTTCAAATCGGATTAGTAGTTCCTGAGATTAGCGCGTTCAAACAAACAATGTTTGACTCTTTATTCTTCTATAAATAATGTTTAAGTATAGACTAGCGGTTCACCCTAGCTTCGTTCGGCTTCGTCCCTAGGTACATTTTAACGGTTAGTATGGAATAGATAGACTATAATCTATATTATACTAATATTATAAAGACGTAAAGTTTGTGACGTTGTAGGGGGTAATCTCTGGTTCTACTGAACCGATTTAGATGTAATATAATAAGAAAGTAGTGTGAGACCTTGGGAAGGACATAGGGTACTTTTTGTCTCAGAAATCATCCCTTAAGGGGGTGAAAATGGGGATGAAAGTTTGCATGAAAAATCAAGCTAGAGACGAACCCGAGCGCAGCGAGGGTGAATCGCTAGTATATTATATTGCTGCTCTGCTTCCTTGGGTGCATGATGATTTATATAGCCTATATATAGCCTTCCTCAATAAACGGGCTATCTAATGCAAAAAAATAATTCAAATTGGACTAGTAGTTCTTAAGATTAGCGCGTTTAAACAAACAAACAAACTATGCCTCTTTATAATATTAGAATAGATTTAACAGAAATCCTCTGAAGCAACAGCTGATTTTAATGACGACTGAAATTAATTCGTTAAATATGACACGAGGAAGCCAATATACATCAGCTGCAATGATAAAATCTGTTCCGGGATTGAGAGCGGCTTGAATATAAGGAAACAATGTAATCTATCTAATTGCATCTCGATTCTCGACAGAACGGAACTGGTATTATTGGCACGCATACATACACGCCCATTGTTCTCTCACACCGTAAGATACTTTTATCGCGTCCTCTGTGCACGTGCCTCGACACGATTCGAGTCTAATCCCATAATCCCACCCGGAAAATATCCATGAGTTATTGTTTTTTTAACCATATTTACTCGAAAAATGTTTGCACGAATTATCGCCTGTGTTGACACTGTGATGTTTTAATAAAGCAATCTGATTCCCACTAGTCCATTGGGAGCTGCAGATTACTCGTGTTCGCGATACCTAATTAACGTGTTGCGGACGATTATATCAGGTGAATAAGACTTCTTTTCAATCGAGTTACGATTGCAACTGGCAGCGTTAGTTGTCTTCATGATATCCGTTGTGTTCCAGAAAACCGGTCCAAACGGCAGACGAGCGACACTTGGGGACAAAAGATAAGCTGTGCAATTTGTCTTGAATTGTGTTTGGAAAGTCGTAGACCGACTGAATTCACTTGAATTTACTTTGAGGTTCTCATTTGTTTCTCTTTGCCAAAAGTGTTTCTGACTTTCAGTAAAAACGCGCATTTAATCTAAATGCTAGGCATAAGTTTATATTCTCATATGAGTATTATTTCTCTTCTGTATTATAATGTAAACTATTATATTAAAATATTGGAGTATTTTAGATATTTAACAAAGAAGTAGAAATATTTTTATATTTATGACAGAACAATGAACGTTGATGATAGTACAGTGTACACCTTTCAAACAGGTCTATGCCCACAATGATATGCATTTGATGGGTTTTATTGTCAGAAATATGTCTGGATTTTATAGGTGCTTCCTCTAACTTTGTGCACAATGGAAAGCTCTTTTATTCCTTAAGTGCTTTGTGCCATCTTAAATCTTAAAATAACTTGGTTCATTTCATAAAAACGAAAACTATAATTTATTTAACATTCATAACTAATATTTTAAATAAAAGGGTACACTGACTTCAGTATTTTTTTAAAAGTAAATTTTTCACTATTTCTCAGGGAAGGTATTTTTTATTGAAAGCAGTATAAAAGTATAAACTAAATGTGTAAAAATTATAGTATGTACCTATATGTAAAAGGCTGGCATAATATAAAAATAACTAAAAATATTTGTTACAGCAACAAAAGACGAATCAGAAGTTGAAGGGGAGTGTCGAGGTCGACAAAACGGTGGCGGCGGCGCGCGCGGCAAACTACCCTACAACGGATACTCTGAGGAGTGTCTCGACCGACTAGAGCCCAACGGCAACATACCTAACGATAAGGAATCCCATTATGGTGAGAGCACTTATAACTGCTGAAGTTCTTATGGGAAGTGGAAATAAAAGTTTGCAATCAGACATTAAACTGCCCAACTTTTTGTTTCCGCTTTGTCGGGATAAAATATATTTCTACGAACTATTGTTTTGCTATATAGTGTATTTTTTATTCTTTCCCGGTTAGTATTTATAAAGTTAAATACAGGAAACAAGATCAAAAGTTTGCCACTAGATAACATAAGAATTATCCGCGTCACGCGGAAAATTTCCTTTGTTTGGAGTTTAGTTAAAATTTTAGTATTCGACAAAAATTTACAGCATATGTATATTATATCATTGAAAACGTGCAGGAGTTAAGATTATTTTTTAACATTATAAATACGTTTGTTGTTTAGTCCTTCCAACAACAACAGATTGACGTGATTTCGTCCCTAATATGACTTTTGTTGATGGTCGCGGCGCGACCACTTTGTATCTCGTTACGTAAAGTTACATCCGTGAATGTAAATGTTAGTCAATAAAAAAAGTTTTTTAACAATATACTGTAACCGACATCCGACATCGTGAAAATCACGACACGGTAGTAAGGTCGGCATAACGAGTTTAAGTACTTCGTCATGCATAACTCTAACAAGCGAACTATCTACCACAACATGTGTGATATTAAACACCTCGACCTTCGTATTTACTAACCGCAGAACGTTGATAAACTTAGTTATAATATATCGCAGGCTCCACACATAATTCCTTAAATAACTCCGTGTTGCAATCTAAACCTTTTCCCAGGAAAATTGCAAAGGAGAATCCCACAGGTATTCGAAACGGTAGTGTCATTAAGCTAGACTCGCTGAGAGCTGTATTGAGAATGTAAAATTATTATTTCTAGGAAATGTCGTTCAATAAGTAAAATATAGATATATTGTTTCTCTTTTATATAATTACTACTATAATGACTATAATGAATATTTATTTATATTTAACTTCCTCGTATTTGTTATAAAGCTTCCTGTTTTTTCTAGTGACACTGTTTATTGAGCAATGTTGTATCAAAGTATTTACGTAAGTTTAAAATTCAACTTTTATTTGAAACCTTTATCTATAATTTAAATCTGTGTTCATAAAATTCTTTACAAATAGCATTGGGTTCAGTAAGATTTAATTCGATAGTAATACGGTACTTACTCGTAAACTTGCAGCTCCATTATTTTGATGACTTCAACTGAACTTGTTTTTGCAAAGCATAATAATTGCCCATCAATAAAGTAATTACTAATTAATATTTTTAAAATTGTAATAATTATAATAATAACATCAAAAATTAAATAAATAATATCCCATATTCAATTATAAAACTAATTAAAATTTTAAAAATGTTTAAAGTTGAAAAATATTTTAAGGTAATTGGTGCAATTTTCATTTTGTTATTTGTGGGTAGGCTGTCTGTAATAACTATACTTTCGAGACACTCAGTCTCTCCCGTGACCATGATTGCTGTAAAACATTGGAAACGTCGGAAACCAACAATCCAAGTAAATCCGCGAAAAAATCCGAAAAGATATTCGCGTAAACCTAAGAAAGAAAAACCTCAATAGCTAAACTTGACTCGAACCCAGGGCTTCCGGATCTGCAGCCGTATATGCTAGCCACTAGATCACCGAGGCAGATATAGAAATATATAATATATGTATATGTGTAATGATTTAACTTTTCATGGTTTGAGTAGTTTCTCATAGCCAATTAAGCCTAAATAGGAGCAGTAGGTAGCATTTTATCCTGAAACGCAAACGAAATGCAGCACTGTAAGCTCTTGCCTAACTAATTAGAAGGCTTCAATGAAACCCATTACGTAGCGCAGAAAGTCTGACAATGGTGGCGTAATCAGTTCCATAGCTATCTTATCTACTAGATTTAGAGTGTACAAATATTACAGTATTATGATCGGTCATTATATGTTAAATAGATACAAGCAAAGGAAACAAAGTTATATTAATACTAGCGACTCACGCTCGCTACGCTCGGGTTCGTCTCTACTTACGTTTTAACGTTTAGTATAGATTTCTCAGAAATGAGATATTTTACCGCAGTAAAAGTATCCTATATGTTGACCCGGATAACCAGCTATAATCATGCCAAATTTCATCAAAATCCCTCCAGTGGTTATCCGTGATGCGGTAACAGACAGACGAAAATTCTAAAAACTATAGATTCAGCCTCAGTATCGATAGTAATATCTATTTCAATAAGATTTCCCAAAAAATATTTAATGTACACATTCGGCTTAATTACAATTTTATTATATGTATAGTTAATATTATGCAATATAATTTAGCGATGTCAATACTTAGTTAATATTGTTTAGTTAATTGCATCAATTGTTAATAATATGAGCAAACATACGGCTAGACCGCGATTTGCATGTTAGATAAACATTATCGACGTAACAGGCATAAACGTATCTAAGAATCCAATGTTAAACTATAGATTTACGTTTATACTATCTCGGCGTAAGTTCATTTGGATTCTGGATATAATATTCTGCCATTACATAGAAGATAAAACTCGTATCGAATACTAACTTTAAATTAGATAAGAGAAAAGACAAAGAAAATTTGAATGACACCAAAAGAAGGAATAAACTACGATATAGGACGAACAGGATATGAGAATAGAAATAAAAATATATACAGACAATAGTTATATGATATTCACACAATATATTTTTATAACTTACTAAAGTAGTCACTGTATAGTGGAAGAATGGTGCGAAACGGATAATCATTCAGGCTGCAGGAGTATTAAAATACTACTCGGGTAAATAAGTCACGCAGCTGATATTCAATTCAATTTGTTTGTTTTGTCAGCTGATATTCGGTCACATCCAGTTATGACGTTAGTGATTTGTAATAACATACAGATTATTTTAAATTATAAAAATAAATTAATGATATACCAGTTAAATGGGATTTAAAATAGAAATGTTGACAAGATATTTAATTGTTTAGATGATCGTGTGTATACAAACAATGCAGCGACCACGCTGTCTTTGCTCACACCAGCTATGGACTTGACACATGTAAATAAACCGTCTATATAAATATTTATACACCATCGTAGAGCTCGGCGAGAGTTGAATTTTAAAACTACTTCAGTTTTTAATCGGATTGTCGGTTCTTAGCAGTTGGCGGTAACAGCTCTTAGTTCTCTCCCGGGTTCTTTTTTGTTCGTTAACAAAGGAGTTGAAAGTAAAGCTTTGATGAAATTCACAGTTTCATAAGGATGTTTGTCATATAAGTTTGATTAAGTTTATATTTTTTGCGATTTATAAAGTGAAAACAATAGTTTAGAGGTAAGTAGAAAGGGTAGGTTAGGTACGCTTTGTTGATTCAAGAATTATTACCATGTCCAATTTTATCAATTGGTCAAGATTAAAAAAAATATAAAATTTTTGTTTATTAAATATAGTTACATATTGAAAGTAAGTGTAAGTCCGATTAAAAAACATACAACACTAATAGTCTAATAGTATATTATCATGTAAATATAGTCATATAATTGAAAGCTTTTTCAAAGCTTCTAACATAAATATTTTACTAAATATTTTAGATCTATTACGTAAGAACTACTAAGTTAATCAATAAAGTAATATTGTGGGCCATTGCGAAATGCATAGCATAAACACTCTCCATATATACCTTATGCATAGGAGTATTTATGATATTACTTGACATGTATTTGATCAGTACATTTATCAAGGCTTCTTTGATAATATTGTTTAAAGAATAATTAAAATAATCTTCTTATCCAGTGCTGGATTAAGCCTAACGGACTTTTTCATTTTTGATTGCAAATTTCGATTTTGGTATAAAATATGTATAATGTATATAATTTATCGTATTTAAGTATAAAAGTTAAGAGATAAGTTATCCTTTGTCAACATTCTGTAACTTTATTTTGTATAACATAAATTTATGGTACATAAATAAATAATAAAAAATATATATAATAAAAAACCATAATCTCGTTGTTATCGTTCCTATAAATAGGTTTTGTTTTCTCCAATCAATATTTATTTTCCTTGCACAATTGTGTATATTATAAACTATATCTTAATTTTAGCGGGATCCTTGAAAGTTGGATTCCATACCCCCATCATTATTATATGTATAATATAACCATATATTCGTCATCCGCAAATGCTTCTATTTCAATTGAAACTGTCACGGTTTGTTTATCATTAACCAAATTAACTATTTTGATATCTATTGTCTCTTCCTATTTACGATGAGTAAATATCATTTGTAACGGGAAGGGAGTCATCACAAAGTACTATGAATAAACAAGAGATATGGAAGTGTATTTATGTTTCGGACAGAACTCTACATGTCACCACCCTTGGCTACGAACTCAGTTTATCTTTTGTCTGCGTTTGAGACAATGTTTGCTTTAAAAGAGGGAAGAATGTTATGAAATTAAACCGCCCTTAATAATATAAGTATTCATTTTTATGATTTTTATAGTTTTACTAGCATTGCCCGCGGATCCGCCCGCGTTCAAATGACCAAAAACTAAATTCTTAGGTTTTACATATTAGTATACTCTTACAGTGCAGTTTTTGTATTTTTTCTCAGAAATAAGATATTTTCCCGCGGTAAAGAGTATCCTATATGTTGACCCGGATAACCAGCTATCGCCATACCAAATTTCATAAAAATCCCTCCAGTGGTTTTTCTGTGATGCGGTAACAGACAGACCAAAATTCTAAAAACTATAGATTCGGCCTCTGTATCGATAATATTGTTTGTTTAAATATGATTTTCCAAAAAATATTTAATTTACAGATTGGGCTTAGTTACAATTTTATTATATGTATAGATGAATATACTATGAAAATTGTAATTAAAGGAAAACTCTTTTTAACAACAAATAATTTAATTTTAATCAACAAACTGATAATGCAGCGCTCAAATTTACCCGAGTAGTTTCAGGAAGTGAGTCTCACTAGTAATTCGGTTTCTGTTCAGAGGTAATTGGGCACTTAATTAAATTACGTAAGGTGCGAACCTCGGGATATCGAATTATGAAATTGTATGATAACTAAACGTACCGCTATATATCTACTATTTAATACTAATTGCGATCTTGTTATGCTAATATACCTAATCTGTTTCTATAAACTACCTTGAAATATGTATGTAGCACGCTTGTGATATAGATTATAGTGTAAGAATACTAAGATGGATTCATTTACATATTTGCTGCTTTGCTTGTCTTGCTTTGGGTTTTGAACTTCTTACATTTATGTGTGCTATGTATAATTTTTAGACTTTCATAGAAATATAACACGTACAAAAAGAAGTATTTAGCCTCGTAACAATTCGTTTTGAAATATTGTTTTTTCTTCAATAAAAAATGTATTCAATAATGCCTCAAAAATAAAACTCTAATTTTTAATCTAGTCAGTTAATTATTATGGTTATTCAATGGCAAAATAGCTTCGTACCCTCGATACGTGAATTGACAAATGACACCTGTCCCGACGTCCATTATAATTACGGAAATACCAAAAACGAATGGGGCAGTAAAATTGACGGGGACTTTAGGGCTCAATAAACATTTTTATTCCCTGTTATGAATTATGATATACCACCGAACTCGCAAGTCAGTATGATATGCGCATCAAAACGAATGGCAAAGACCGTGATCATAAAACATACTTCTATACAAGACATGCTCGTATGAATGGCACTAAATGAACCTTTTATGATAGCTCTTCTTGGTACAAAAGCTACATATTTAAAACAACTCGCAACTTTTATTGAACATGTGGTTTCATCCGTCTCGAATATACTGCATCTAAAGAGAGCTTTCCTAAGTTATGTAACTGTAAAGTATAATTAAAATCCGTTCGGTATTTCTTGTAAGACGCCGTTATGTTGGCGATGTATGCGGCGTGATTCATTTACAAAGCTGACTAATTATTTTAAATTAATAAGTACTTAATATTGCACTGCCAAGTGTATTTACTTAACTGTTCTATATACTTAATAAGTATTTAGGAAATCTCTTTGATCGTACGTATATTATTTAGTTTACGCGTAAAATTGCAGTAAAATTTTTCAAGTAAAGGTTATTTTTAAGGCAAACAAATATTTTTAGTATAAGCTTGAATGTACGCACTTTCAACCTCATAAAAAAATTATAATTCATATGTACATACTTATTAGTTATTATAAACCTTTATAAAATATAGTTTCGGGAACATATTCCAATTTGCCACTAAAATATAATAATAACTGTTAATCACTTTATGTGATATATATAGCACGTATTAATAATAAGTAATAGCACTCATGTTGAGTCGGCATTACAAATTATATCCTTTGAAAAGGTGCGGAATTCCCACATCCCTCCTATTGGTTGTCAGCCACACCCGTACTATACGAGTATTCCTGTGACCTACTTATATTATGAAATAGATTATTGCGTGTTCTGGGTTTTAAATAGAGGCAGCTTTAATTAAATGAGATGCTTTTATTCAAATACATTTTTGATTCTGAAATAATTGTAGAAGAAGCTTTTAGAAATGCTAGTCCTGTTTCTACTGCAATGACCTCCTTACATTTTATCTAGTGCAATACGAAAGCTTTACATCAGGAATAAGTTTGAGCTAACTAATTACAAATTCGCTATTAATAATTTATGTATATAGTACAAAGTTGTATATTTTATTTTAGAACATCTATTTACAGTTAGTTAACTTTATAATTGTACAATTAGAACAGCTTTTATCTACATAATTATTAATTAGCAAAGTGTAAATGTAAAATATTTTGCCACTAACGATTTTGTTATGTTTTACAAATTCAATTGTCTACTGGCAATTATTATTATCAATAATCAGAAATATGTCTTACAAAAGTATAAATATAATAAATTAATTTTATTTATTATACCTACTATTGAAAATAGTATGTTTTAAATAAATAAACAATACGTAACGCGAACGCTTTTTTGTTATCAATAAATAATGTGAAAAATTACTTACATGCATAGAGCCTGAATGATTCTTTCTCTTTGGAATATTAACGCAATTTCCCAGGACATGGCAAAAAAATTACTGCCTATATATCAAAATATTTCTCCGACCAGATCCCCCTTTTTTATCCGACTTGATCGATTGTCTTCATAATCGATTTTTATGATACAACCGATTTCTATGATTTATACACTCCGTGCTTACAACGAGTGATAGCGCCTTTGTGACGTTAACGGGTAGCTTTTGAGATATTGACGACGCGGCGACACTGAAAAAATAAGTTCGACTATAATCGCTCAGTAACTCTCTTTTTAGTACTCTTTTTTTACTGTTGATTTAGATATCCATAAAAGAGATTTAAACCGTAAGCTTCGATGGAAGCTTTCAAAGTTATTACATGAGCTTTCTCATCATTCGATAACTTTTAACTTGAAACGTAACTGCGAATAAAACGAATAGTCAATAATAGTTCTTGTTTAATGTGTTATTATTTAGTAAGTTGGGATACTATGATGATATAATTAATTAATCCATATTAAACATAAACTACCACATCATAAAATTTTCATTAAATAACCAAAACCTACTAAAGAAAATATAGAAATTAAAAACTTTAATATCCCTAAGTGCTCGCGCGCCTTGGGAATGCTATTACAGAATATATTTAAGTACGGTAGATCATATCCAATATTGTTTTAGAGTGGAGTGGCGGTGCCGGTAACGGGGAGTACCGTGTCAGGAGACAGCTATCAGTGTCTTCAGATTCGAAGCTTTTAGACGAAGGAGCGAGGGAGGACGCGAGGGTGGTGATGAGGCCGAAACGACCTCCCAGGCCCAAATCTGAGGCATTCCTTGGACCACACGACCATTCTAGCAGACGCACCAAGCGGTTTAGTGCCTTTGGGGTGAGTTTTACTATCTTATTTAATTATCATTAACTTAAATTAGTGTTAGACGCACTATTTATCGATTATGTTGCTTTAAAAATATACATTTGTCTTGGTTTTATATTTTATATTTCACTTGTAAACAGACACATTTTACTGAGACTACTAATATTATACACAGCAATTGTTTTTTGTATTGATCATATTATAGTAGTATGTATTAATAAATCATTTTAATTGAACATTACTCACATTGTCTAGTAATTAAGAAAAGAAAAGAATAAAGTGAAATCAAATGTTCTTTTTTATAATTCACATTAAAAAAATCTAGAAGAAAAACTAAAATTTTCTTAGTAAGCATTTCTTTCTTTATTGTCGTATGAAACCACATAGCTGCCGAGATGTTCGTGGATCATTTAGCAAGGCATGTGCCAGCGCGGTCACTCGTAAAGGTCCCGTGAGAGGTATAAGAATAATGACGCCTCTATTCACTCGATGAAGCCATGAGGATGAATACAAAAAGAAACGAAAACTGACTTTGATCGATGCCGAGCGATATTTAAGATTATAAAGATGCACTGTCTTATCATATTTATAATGTTAAGTTTTATTTACTTGTGTGTTTCGTAACCATAAAATTACAAACTTGCCAAAGGTTTGAAGTATGAATACGACCTCAATCTTTTGTCTCAACGTTCGAGTAGCAAACGCGTCGGTCATTTAAAGGCATTAAAAAAATTTTGCATATAAAGAAACCCCGTTACATTGCTTTAGCATACAAAACCCTTATAAGGTGCGAACTGTCTTATTAAAATAGCATAAACAGTATGTACACAATGAAATCTCTGATATCACTGTGCTTGGGACGTCGGAAAGTGAAACATACGAATGTGACCATTATGCATTGTGTGCTAATGTTTAAAATACCTGTTCTATGTACATTTTTGCAATTTTATACTGAATGCAAATTTTTAATCGTGGGAAGTGTCACCTACTCCAATATGTTACTGTATATTATGTGTACCTATTGTGTATGTATATTGATAGTTTACATACAAGCAAATTCGATGTTAGCCTATATTTTCTAAAAGAAATGACTTCTATATTTATATACATATATAATATGTACATAACTTGTTTCTTAGTGATAATGTACATATATTATGTATTTTTATATTTGACTAGCATTGCCCGCGGCTCCGCCCGCGTTCAGATGACCAAAAAACAAATTTTTAGGTTATACATATTAGTATAGTCTTACATTGCAGTTTTTGTATTTTTTCTCAGAAATGATATATTTTCCTGCGGTAAAAAGTATCTTATATGTTAACCCGGATAACCAGCTATCATCATACTAAATTTCATCATAATCTCTCCAGTGTTTTTTTTTGTGATGCGGTAACAGACAGACACACACACAAAAATTCTAAAATCTATAGATTCGGTCACTGTATCGATAAAAATGTTATTTCAATAAGGTTTTCCAAAAAATATTTCATGTACAGATTCGGCTTAGCTACAATTTTATTACATGTATAGATATTTTTACATTTGATTATAATTATCATATCTTAGTATTTTGGAATTGTTTAGCTTTGTTTGGTATGTGTATAAATGTATAAATTTTCACTGTCCTGCTATTTTAATGATACAGTCTTATATGTAACGAAAACTCACAAACGTGAAAGATAGCATAAAGCGAATATCAAAATTCTGTCTTTGCATATTTACGCGTTGTAATAATTTGATAATGTTTATCATCTCTTTGTTTTGCTTCTGTGTTTAAAGTATAGTCTTTTATTAAATTGTTTATGTTGGCTTACTGTTAACTATCAAAAACAATTAAAAAAAATTATCAATTTATGATAAAATTTAAAAATCATGCTTTCCAATTTGTCCAAGTTTAATTAAAATATAATAGTATCTGGATTGATGTTCTCTTCGTAGTGCGAAATTAATTAAATATTTAAATATTGTATGGTTTAAAATTTAAAATCTATAAAGAAAGCAAATAAATTCTCTTCTCTCCACCGAGCTTCAGTGACAATAGCAAACATTTTGAAGTTTTCAATCTCCGTTCACAAAGTATTTCCAAAATAAAAAGAAACTTGTGCTGCTCTTTAAAAAGACTTTCGATAAAATCGATTTAGCCGTAGTCATTCTTGTTGAAGCTAGCCGGAACAAATAAATTATAAAATGGCGGTTTTTCAAGTAATGGGAGCGACATATTAGATTTTTAATAACAAAATGCTTTCATTTTTACATTACCTTTTACCGCAGCTTTACACGCGTAGTATAGGTACTTATGTATAGTATTTTGACGGAAAAATAGCGCGTTTAAACAAAGAAGCTCTACATAGATGTATTCTCAAATCACTGCTCGTCATAGTATAATTATTTACTAAGAGAAAGGTATAGAACAGCTATTTCTTCATAGCGCCTGAGCCCGCATGCCAACTGCCGTAACAAACCGTATCACATTAGTTAAGTCAAATATTTAGACAGGCGCTGGAAGAAAGCGAAACGATGTAAGTGGGAGTTAAATAATCGTTGAAGATAACGCTAAGCACGCACAAGTATATTCTGTCATGAATTTCATTTTATTTTTAAACGAACTTCCAGGAGGTTTGTATCCTTGTGCAGTTGATTGTTCTTTATATGGATCTTAGCACAGATTATTTAATATTCATCTACATACTATTTTATATAAGAAATTGTAGGATTGATTATAAGGGTTAAACGTGATTATTCTCATTTTAAATTTTAATGCGTTAATGATATATCTTTATAATATAAAAATGAATCGCTGAATGTGTTGATAAGCGCAAAATTCGAGAGCAGCTGAACCGATTTCGCTAATTCTTTTTTTAGAATATTCCTTGAAGTACGAGGATGGTTCTTACGGAGAGAAAAATTAAAAAAATTGCATGAAAAAGTCTAAAAACAACACTTTTTTATACTCCCATACAAAAGATTCGTAATAATACTTAAAAGTCATTTTGAACTTTAATACCATAACATAAAGTTTAAGTGTTAGTGGAGAGGTTCCGGGAAGGCAAAACATTGATGGCAATTGAGTGACGTTAGAATCGTATCAATATTAATGTCAATATTTGTCAATATTATTAAAAAAAATATATTATATGGCTAATGCTGGCTGATAACTATTTATATCTATTTAAAATGTACCTCGCGACGAACCCGAGCGAAGCGAGGGTGAGCCGCTAGTTCATTATAAAATTACATAGAAAAACACAAACAAACATATCCCCCGAGAACCATACATTTTTCCGGGGTAAAAAGTAGCCCATGTGTTATTCCACATTATACCTAATCTATCTCTGTGCCAAATGTCATCCAGATCCGTTCAGCCATTTTGGCGTTAAAGAGTAACAAACATCCGTACCCACAAACTTTCACATTTATAACATTAATACGGATATATTTAAACAGACATTTTTTATACGATCAGTCCATGTTTTTGTCAACTACGTTTTTACTCCTTACATTAAAAAAAACAAAGAAGAAATGGATCAATTTTCTATTTTGTCGGTACGATAAAAATATTATACACTACATACTTGGTATCAATACAGGCTTATTGGTAGCATAATGAATGGCATTGTTTCGAAGGTTTGTCGTATCTGCATATACTCGTAGTGCCACCAATAGCGCGGTTAAATTCTTGGAAAATATATTCTAATCCATATTGTTACCGCATGAGCAATACGACTCAAAAACTCTTCATGTTTTTTCTTTGTCTTTTACGGTGTTAATCTTTAAAAGCTCTCCCTCCACATAGTCGCTATTTGTTACAAAAAGCTATTAATCGTAAAATATTAAATTTTATTATATTTAAAACATTTGCGAGACAAATTGAATTTTGATGTATGATATACTTTTTTAATATCTATAGTTTTGTTATTGCTAACATATAGAAATATTTTATTTAAAATGAACTTAATTTGTTAATTTTGTAGATTCGATACATTTTTTCTTTATAAATACATTAATGCGTACACAATGGTCTGGTATTGTAGAGTGCTCCACGGTAGACGCTAATCGTTATAAACAACTGCTGTGGATACACCACGCGATAATAAACTGCCGCTACGTTCCGCACGGACTCTGCGCCTTTATATTTTCTTTCTTTGTGCTCTCGAAATATACGACCTATTGATTGATATTTATTATTCTCTCAAGAACGAATAAGAAACTAAAACAGATGGAGTAAATCCTGGATAAGAAAATATGAGTATATAAAATTTAACTTAATATATATGAAAACTGAATAGCATAAAAATTAAAAACATGTTTTTACTGAAAAAGACAGAACAAAGTGAGTCGTTAGTACGTTTTTAACATTTCACCAATATCAAGATAATTCTAATGTACTCGTAGTAGTATCCGCTTTGCGTAATAAAAACGTATACCCGTTCGATAATCGAACCTGTGACTCGTGGTAGTGGACCCGTGGTTATATAGCACATAATAAACATTATTCCTTCGTCTTAATATCTTTCGATATTATTCTTTTTTTTTTACTCATACGATGCCAAAATAACTTATGGAAAAATATTTTCACGTGAAAGGTTCATAAAACTACAAAATTTATGTTTTAATATAAAATCACTGAACTGAGTGATTAAAAAAGAAAGTTTCTTGGTGAAGCTATTTATAAACTTTAGCGACTTGAGATCAAACCGCTGACTACTTTAAAATAAACAATGCAGGAGGATAATGTGGCGTAAAAGCCTGGACACCATTTTTTAAAATATCTATACGAAAATTTAGACATCTCTTAGCTATCAATTTTTGCACTTCTCTAGATTGTTTTTATTCTATTTAATAATTCTAATATTTTAATTTAAAATTTAAATGGTGATATTTATATGTGGAAGCTGAAAAACTAAAAAATACTGTCTATAGCGATTATTTAGATAAACGCAAAATAGTGCGCTAAACGTAAATGTGTAACATTTCATACAATTAAATAGATTTGTAGGGTATCTCTATCGTATTATAATAATTTTCATGTGAGCTAAATTTGTACATTTGTTAGGGAATTAATTACTGTAATTGTTTGTTTGGGGATTAGTTTATTTAAACAAAATACGATCATATTAAACTTTAGCATATTGATACTCATATTTTATTATTAAAAAAAATAAAACATGAGTATCATGTCAAGATACAAATAATTTTATACTGGAGGTACAAAAAAAAAGTTTTTTTATTTTTTTTTCGTGCTATCTTATTAATGTGCTTAGGATCAGAATTGATTAAACATTAATTTTTCTTCAAATTATAATGTCTAATTTGTTAGTATAACGTAATAATAACGTTTAAAGAAGTAATATGGAACCTTTAAAAATTTATACTGGTTGCCAGTTGCCAGCTTGCGGCGTATGAATTCATTATTTTCTCTAAAACCACTAACATAAACCTCGCTTCTTAATAAAAAAAAATTGAAATATATTCATTGGAAACCATTCAGCCAAACAAGTTATCTATACTTATTATAAAAATAAGTCCCCCGGCCGCGTCTTTCTGTCCTCCTGTCTGTCCTCCTGTCTGTCTGTACGCGATAAACTCGAAAACTACTGAACGGATTTTTATACGGTTTTCAACAATAGAAAGAGTAATTCTTGAGGAAGGTTTAGGTATATAATTTATTATGCTTTTATGTAAATTAGCTGAAATACGGCGACAAATGTTGAAGAGGTCGCAAAAAATCTCGCCAAATGGGAACTTTCCACGCGAACGCCGCGTAAACTAGCAAAGATACAGTTAAGTAATGTACTAGAGAATTCAAAATCTATAAAAATGCTACAAAAAAGTCCGCGATAGCATATCTCTATCTCTTACGGTTGACTTACAATAACCACTTTTATGTTAACATTTTTAATTAAAAACATTACGTTGTTTTCAAAGTTATTTTCTTTAGTTCGGTATTAATCCTTATCCAAATGAATATTTTAGTTAGCTTAGTCATTTAATGCAGATTAAAATTGCTCTTTACACTAAATCAATCAGATGAATAGTTTTTGAGATATCGTTGTTAGAAGTAATTAGTAGCGAAACATTTTTAATGCTTGGCGAGCATTGAGATGCCTACGGCGAGTCCATCCCCTCTGCCCCGCATCGCTCGACCGCCTGCTCAAGCTATATAAACCGGGCGATGTAGCGCGCGATCCTAGGATACTTTTTACCGCGGGAAAATATCTTATTTCTGAGGAAAAATACAAAAACTGCAATGTAAGAGTATACTAATATGTAACACCTAAGAATTTAGTTTTTGGTCATCTGAACGCGGGCGGAGCCGCGGGCAATGCTAGTAAACACTAAAACAATTTGGTTCCTGTCAAATCCTGAACATATTTTATGTAAAACTTTGATTACCTTTTTAATATTGTAATATGCATATTTTCTATAGTATCAATACAATACTAATTTTATATTTTTTTCAATGCACACAACGTAGCAACGAACCGACGTTGCTTTTGTATGATTTTTACTTTAGTCTTTATATTTTTATCGCAGAAGTACGTCATCTTCAAATAAAACAATAGACACTTGCATTTTGCATCTGAAATAAAAAAGAAATCATACAGTTTGCTATAGCAGTTAAGTGTGGTCTTAAGTGGTTCTTTTCTTTTATAAGTGTAGCTAATTATGTATATATGTATTTTATTATTAATATATATTTATTGTTATTGGCAGGGTGATTCCCCGTTCGGCAAGTCCGAAGCGTACATAAAGCTGGAGCAACTCGGCGAGGGCTCCTATGCTACAGTATATAAGGGATATAGCAAGTAAGTAATTAGTTTTGTATAAAAACCATATATGTACAGTATTTAAATCTTACATTATTTAAAACTAGCGACTCTTTAAATTGACGTAACTTTTTTATTCATGCACCGATTGAAATAAAACAAATACTAAATGTTAAAATGAAGCTTACCACAATATAATAGTGGAAACCGCATCCAAATCGGTTAAGCCGTTTGTGGGATTCTGGGAACTCATAGACAAACAAAAAAACCGACAAAAAACAGATAAACGGACAAAAATTCTAAAAATCATTGTTTTGGGTTCTATTGCGTAAATAAAGACCCCCAATGATAGTTTTTCTCAAATATCTCCCATGTACAGACAGCGATCAGTTGCACTTTTATTATATGTATCGATTGATATATGATTTATTTAAATAATTAATAATATATAGTTAATAAATAATAGTAGCTTACGAACATAGTACTTCCTCCTATTTTAAAGTCGGTCAAAGAATAACAGGGTCTTTGTTTATTAGTAATTAGAATTGAGTTCTGTCTGTCCCTTTTCGTAATAATGTGAAAAAGTATGTTATTTTATCTTAGTCGGACTTTCTGCAATATTAAGTTTCATTTATATTTGCTAAGTAGTTATCTTATACATATCTTTCTCTAACTACGTACATACATCGCGTCGTACACCGTTACACGTACGTACACACGCAATGCGACCAGAAGTTAATATAAAAAAAATGAATTATGTATATTTAGTGCCTTACTTAGGTACTTATTATTTCTAAACTTATTATATCTAAAATCATCGCTTTTCATTTTTACATAGTCGTTTTAAGCGCAAATAGTTCCTACCAGTATGAAACGATTTCAATGCAGATTTAATTCAAATAAATATTTAAGTTTGAATTCAGTTCTTAGGTAAACTTTCATGGAACTTCCTTTCCTTCTGAAACTTTGCTACATTTAACTTCTGGACAATTGCGTGGAGGATTTCATTAGTTAGATATTGAAAATCTCAGAATTTTTGTTCGCAAGTACTAATATTAAACTTTGTTACTGAGTTGTTTGATTATATTTTATACTAGCATTGCCCGCGGCTCCGCCCGCGTTCAGATGACCAAAAACTAAATTCTTAGGTTTTACATATTAGTATACTCTTACATTGCAGTTTTTGTATTTTTTCTCAGAAATGAGATATTTTCCCGCGGTAAAAAGTATCCTATATGTTGACCCGGATAACCAGCTATCATCATACCATCATCAAAATCCTTCTAGTGGTTTTTATATGATGCGGTAATAGATAGACAGACAGACAGACAAAAATTCTAAAAACTATAGATTCGGTCTCTGTATCGATAATAATGTTTATTTCAATAAGATTTTCCAAAAAAATATTTAATGTACAGATTCAACTCAGAATTTTATTATATGTATAGATTGTTGGATATTGGATGATGGAGATTAACTTTTATAATAATGCACATAAATGTATAAATGTTCATTAGTTTTATACATAGTTTCTAATTTTATCAAAAGCTTTATTACATTCGTTGTTCGTTGTTAAAACGTGTCATTGGACGACACGTTTGGCTCAGTGTGGAGTGGCCCTACTGTCTGTGCCGGCGCGGCGGTCGCGGGTTCGAGTCCCGCTGGGGGCATTCATTTGTGTGATGACGGTGGTTTGTACTCCAGTCATGGGTGTTTATATTTATAATATGTATGTATTTAAAGTTATATATGTGTAGTGTATCAACTATCTGGTATACATAACACAAGCCTCGTAGCTTACCATGGAACTAGATGGTGCTGTGTGTTAATGTCCCAACATATTTACAACATATTTATTTAAATGTAGAATTGTATAAATCGGTAGGAATAACGTAAAATATGCGCTTAAATATGTTTTAATACGCCTCGCACGTAGATATTACATAATATTCCTGATTGTAATTTCAGGTCGACCCACGCCGTTACGTGGATGTACGTTTAATTAGAATGCAGAGAAATGTTCGCACCATAATTTAATCATTCATTTTATATATTATTTAACATAACATAGGGTATGTTATGTTAAACGTTTTGGGCGATTGTTAACATGTTATCGGAGACATGGAAAGGACTCTTTTACTCGACTGTCTCAAAAGGAGGGTAGTGTTTTTTTTGTTTTGTGTGTGTATGTATGTGTATTGGGTATACATATTATTATTTTGATAGCTTTCACGTTCTACAAATTTTACCTTTCTAATTCATATTAGAGTATACATTTTAAGCTTGCATAATTTTTAAATATTTTTATACGAGTACATTTAGTAAAACTTTTACTTTGGTGTATAACTAAAACGAAATGCTTTTAGTCTACTTCATTTCGTATCTGAACTTTATACAGACCTCTCACTTCTCTTAGATCTGAAATATTCAAATGAATATAGTTGCTTTGTTGAATGTTTCGTGAAATTGTTGACGCCGGCTTGCATAATTCGCGTAACGTTGTGCGGTATGCATTTGTAGTGTTTCCGAGTTATCGATACGGTATCTGCTGAAATATGAGAAATATTCACAATTGGTTGTTATATCAGATTTTAAAGACATTGTAAATCTACTATTTTCTTTCATATATTCAAACATTATAAATGTTAATTAAAATCGTAATATTTACCATTTAGTGTCATTTTTATATGATACGATTTACTCTCGCTTCTTTCGGGTGCCTGATGCTCGAGTGATTTAGGAACGCATAAAAGACAAACATCCAAAGAAAAAATCTTGTTTGCGACAAGAACCTTCGTAGGCGTATACAAGTTAACCCACCACAGTTTCATCACAATTAGATTAATGGTTTAAGGACGCATAGACGAGAAACATAAAAATATTCATTTTTGTTTATATATACATATATAATAGTCACAAATGTTATAAGTCAGCTCAATTGTTACAAATAATAATAAATATATGTATATGTACGCTAGGTAGTATCTGCCTACAGTCTGCATATAATCGATTCACGATTGTGACCTTTTAATCGTCTCACTTATATACGCTCACTGAATTTCTGGACCCGTAATTAGAAATGTTTGGGTAACTCCAATTAGTGTATAAGTTTTCGTTAGCATTAGCTAGATGGTAAAGCGAATTCGAAGAGAACTAATACTAGATAAACTAGAAACCAGCACTTTTGTACGTGGAATAAGTTTTCTTGCGAAATCTACGAAAGGTTTATTCTCGTAGATTGTGCACGTATTATTTGTTAAGACCTCGGTTACTATATCTGTTTAAATATACAACACAATTTTTATTAGATTAAATGAAAGTATTGATTGCAATCGATGCATATATTATGTACATATTTCGTAAGATTGGCTTGCAAAAATTATTACAAAAGATTAGACTATTGTATACTAGCGGCTCACCGTCGCTTCGCTCGGGTTCGCCTCTAGAAAAACAAAAAAAATCTATCCCACGGGAACCGTACATCTTTTCGGGATAACAAATAGCCTATGTGTTATTCTGCTATATGACCTATATTATTGTAAAGTTTCATTAAAATCCATTCCGTAGTTTATGCGTGAAAGAGTAACAAACATAAATACATCTATACATCCAGACATCCATACCTTCCTACAAACTTTCGCATTTACAATATTAGTAGGACTAGGTTTTTATTTCGTGTGAAAGTGTCAAGCAAATTGATAGATAACTTTTGAAATTTAAAGTAGCCTCGGAACTAAGAGCAACCTGTAGGTGTCTCTCACCCTCGACAAATTAGTTTACGAATACTTGAGATTGAATAATTAACTCCCCATTAGAAGGTGGCGTTGAAGGAACTTGGCACTCACGTACGTGAGTTACGATGTCGTATCCTGTGTTGACATTGTTTAGTTTTATACAATAGAAAGTCGTTTGCATTTAGTTTACGGAGGGTATTTAGGATTCAATGACCTTTCGTTAATTATTATTGAAAGTTTAAACTTAGTGTAGGTTAGTATGTTCAAGCTCTACTGTAACAACAGGAAGGAGAACTAAGTTATGCAATTCAATTTATAAACTGTCAAAAATTTTAGGTTTTCGGCTTCTAAATAAATAAAATAAATTTGTTGGGACATTAACACACAGCACCATCTAGTTCTGTGGTATGCTACGAGGTTTGTGTTATAGATACCAGATAGTGGATACACTACACATATATAACTTTAAATACATACATATTATAAATAGCAAATAGCCACTGGGCTACCACTGCCTATGACAACAATAAGACATTTAGCATGCCAACACTAGCGCTCGCTTGGGAGACCTAGTAAAGCGGGTTCAAATCGCGGGTCTCGCACCTCTGATATTTTCACGTGCGAATCATTTTCTTACATGATTGCCACTTGTCTTAACGGTGAAGGAAAACATCGTAAGGAAACTTGCATTTCTGAGAGAAGCTAGCAAGTTTTTAAAAGACATGTGAAGTCCGCCAACCCGCACTTGGCCAGCGTGATGAACTATGGCCTGATCCTCGGCCTCGTATTGAAAGGAGGCCCGTGCCCAGCAGGGGGACGTTAAAAAGGGCAGAATACCAAATGTCTTATGAAATATTAAAAAAACAACATTATTCTTATTAAACATAACTTTTTATTTTATAAGTTATAAATAAAAAAAATGCATAGGTTATGAAATCACTAAAAACTTTGGATTAATAGAGTTTCTTGTTACAGTTTAACACAACAAGTGGTGGCTTTAAAAGAGATAAGACTACAAGAGGAAGAAGGCGCACCTTTCACGGCGATACGTGAGGCGTCACTCCTCAAAGAATTGAAGCACGCTAACATCGTCACGTTACACGACATTGTGCACACGAGGGAGACTCTGACTTTTGTTTTCGAGTTCGTGGTGAGTACTATAATAGAAGCTTTGGTAGCTTATACTTTACTTCTTTTTACATATAAAAAGTTATTATTTCATTTTTAAACACCAGAAATTACGTTAAGATATAAATTTTGGCATTATTTATTTGTTATAATAAATATTTTGAACGAAGTGTTTATGGAGTCATAAATATTTCCACCAAACAACTCGTTACAGAGTTACCTTTTTAATTTTTAACGAGGTGTCGTGTGTAGCCACAAATTTAAACATCCATATTTTATCTTATACAATTGTAATGACTAAATACTAAGGACCAGTAAAAATATTAAATATTAAAACCTAAAAAGTATGACTCCTTTTTACAATATTTTTGTTAAAAATATTCAACATAAAATTAAGGTATCAGATATTCATAACACACATTCAAGAAATTCAAGAAGACTTTTGAATCACACCGCATAAAATGTATAAAATATATTTATTATATTAACTTCTGTCTTTTGTAAACTTATTTAGATGTTACTGGTTTTTTAGTGCTTATTGCACTTTTAAATTATAAAAAAAAGCTCTGAAAATGTATGATAAACTCTCTAGATCCATTTTTATGAGCTTTTATTGAACTTGGTTTGTTGTTTGTGTGTTCTTTGGTGTCAATCTATATATCCGGTTTGAACTAATCATTTTTTACACCTGCTTACGTCCTCGAGCTGTGACCATGACTAACGTGACAATATATAATATTGTACCTTGGAACTGGTCTACTTTTATAATACAACTAAAGTTGTATAAAAATAGAAAATGGTTTTAAATATTTCTACGTGAATTACTTCTAAAAATAAAACATTTACTTCATAGTGTTACAGATTACATATCAATTTCGAATTTACGCAGGATACGGACTTATCACAGTACATGGAAATGCACCCTGGCGGCCTCAACCGACACAACGTCAGGCTATTCATGTTCCAGCTTCTACGGGGGCTCGCTTACTGCCATCGGAGAAGAGTTTTACACAGGTGAATTAAGTGCTGATTTTTAATTTATACTTCTAAACTTAATATTATAAAGAGGTAAAGTTTTTGAGTTTGTGACGTTATACGGGGTAATCTCTGGATCTACTTAACCGAATTAGATGAAATTTGATCTAATCTTCTAGATCCTGGGAAGGACATAGGATACTTTTTATCCCGGATATCATCCCTTAATGGGGTGAAAATGAGGATGAAATTTTGTATAGGTAATCAACCCAGAGACGAACCCGAGCGAAGTGAGAGCGAGTCGCTAGTCATTAAATAAAAATAATTCAAATGATTTAAATTACAAAAAAAATATTACATATCCATGATTAAAATAGTTCGATTATTTTAATTTTATATTCAGTCGAATGTTCGTTAGTCGACGGATAACTTCACATTTCTTTACATTATTTCAGATGGTTGTTAAGAGAATTATTGTTTTTCCTTTCAATCATTTGATTTTCAATTTTTATCAAGCACTAGCGACTCATCCTCGCTTCGCTCGGGTTCGTTCCTAGCTTGCTTCCCAATACAAACTTCCATCTCCATTCTCATCCCCTTAAGGGATGATTTCCGGGATAAAAACTATTTCACTCACTCACTTTTCATATCAAAAGATTTAAAAAAAAACTCATTTTAGTAAAAAAATATCTTTTTATATTCTTTTATACAAAGCTTGTCCTGACAATAACAAACACAAAAAAAAAGAATTAATGCAATTTGGTGCAGTCGATCGGAAGTTATTTCGTACATGCATTTCGGTGATTCATTTTTATTTATATAAGTTAATAGATTAATTATTTAAGTAACGTAATAAGTGTTAATGAATATATTTTTTATATTTCATAAATAATAATTGTATTATTTTTACACGTGTACAGTACCTACAAGGTCAAATGTCAATATAGCATGTAAAAGGTCACATTGACTACAAGGTAATGCTCTGGTCTGCCTATAATATATCTTATGTAATATATTTTTTTATATGTCAAATATTAAATTACAGAATTTAATACTTAGTTTTATACTTTAATACAATGTATATTAATTTCTCTTTTCTTTCAATAGGGATGTGAAACCGCAGAATTTATTAATAAGCTCTCACGGTGAGCTCAAACTAGCAGATTTCGGTCTCGCCCGTGCGAAGTCCGTCCCAAGTCACACGTATTCACACGAAGTCGTCACACTCTGGTACAGGCCGCCAGGTAAATGTTATTTTGATTATAATATATATGGTCAAAAACGATAATAATACAAAATTTTAAAATATTTGCAGGGTAATTCTGAAATATCACACGTTTTGTTATATATTTGCATATTTATTAGGTTTTAAAAGAAAAAAATGATTTATATCTGACAGAATCATACTAGTAGCACAAAATACATGCATATAATTATATATATTCGTCTTTATAAATGACGTTAGGTATAAATAACGAAATCAATTAAAATGTCAATAACGAAAAAACCTGTTAATACTCAAAAACTTATTTTTATTAAAGGAAATAATAATTAAATAAATAAAACTATCACCGATATTTGTGTGATCTTATTTAAATTGACATTGCTTAATTTTATGAGTTGTAGCGAAGTGTATTTCTATGTTAAGTGGTCCACTCATTAATAATGCAGGTTTATTATCTTCCAATCAGTTGACTATCAAAATATCGATTTTTTAAGAGTGTTTTCGATAGCTATTCAAATCTTTTGCTTAATTTACTTCAAGTACTGAAAACGTTATCTTTTAGTTAGAGAGTGGAGTCGTTATTACAATATAATTTACATACATATAAATAAATAGGGTTTTTTTGTATATTTTTATAAAATAATGCAATAATTTCGAAAAAATATATTGTTTTATCATATCTATGCAAATTATAATACCGTAATATATCAGTATATTTTGTATTATTTTTGTATTTTAAGAATAAACTATAAAAATGATAAAAATATTTTATAATATTCCTTTTGCTTAATTACTTATACTATAATCACACTAACAATATCAAAATAAATGGTTTTTACTTCTTTGCGCTGTAACGGGTCAACTGATTTGCTAGGATAATATGGAGTATATTATAGACTTTTTTTATCAAAATAGTTACCACATGAACGGAGTCGCGGGCACAAACTAGTTATGTTTTATATTTATAAATTCTATACTCTGTACTGCATAATAATGAAATAAGCAGACCACAAAATCAGTCGTCCCAAGGTAGTGTAAAGTTACAAAAAAAAAAAAGAAATACGAAACGTTTCATTTTAATCTAATCACTTTCAAGTTTTAAATTGTTCAAGCATTTATTTTTATGGAAATTCAAGACTTCTAGATGAAAAGTTTTAATTTGCTTTCATTGAATTCCTAAGTTGGTAGCAGAGTTGAAAGTTAAACTGGGTTAAAATATAAATGTTGAAGGGAATTTAAAAACTACTAAAATAATTATAAATGTCAGAGAAAAATATATGTACGGGATAATTAAATTGTGTCGAATTATCAACGTTAATTTTGTATAATATTCATAGATTGATACATAATATTCGTATATTTTTTTACATAATATAATAAAATATTTTTTGTCATTAATAAAAAAATCTTTTATCTTTATTTTTTTTAATATTTTATCATTAAAATTATTTCCCATCTAGATGTTCTACTAGGCAGTACAGAGTATTCAACGTCGCTGGACATGTGGGGTGTCGGGTGCATATTCGTCGAGATGTTGTGCGGAGTGCCCACCTTCCCCGGCGTCAGGGACACGAATGACCAGCTCGATAAAATATTTAAGGTAATTAAATAAAATAATTGAATATATTTAATCGTTATAATTATCGTGTTATAGTTATCGTTTCTTTATCGATTTCTTGTGTAATAAATTTTTACGTACGAAAACTTTTGTACGTTTTACAGTTACTACCATGTGACAATTTTAAATAAATTATAATGGGAGAGATATGTCGTGATATACTATAATTGCTGTAAAGCGTTCAAAACGTCAGGAACCAAAAATCAGAATAAATCCCTAATTAGAAATCGAACTGATATCCGAAAAAATCCAATAAGACAAGTTTTACTTAAAAAGTGAAATATTTACGTAAATCTAGAAAAAAATATTATGTGACAAATTATTTCTTAGTATATTTTTTATGTTTATCTTACATTCGAATATAATATGAAGATATATCATAATTCACTTTTTTATTAATCAATTTTGTTACAAAAATATTTCAAATACAAAAACCTTTCGGTATCGTAATTTAATTTATCAAACGGTAATGTACCAATTGACCTTTCAGTCCTCACGTAAAGTGGCGCCGGTGAAACATTCGTAACGTAGTTATGAAGTATTTCAGTGCTGATTTTGTAGATTAATATCTCACTTTTGTACTTAACGATGAAATTTGTTATAAAACACTCCAGTATTAGGCCTTGAAACCGTTTTTAATAATAATGTAGTTAGAACCAAGAAAAATGTAGGTAAAAGTAAAAAAGCCAATTTTTCAATCGGTGAGTCAATGAGTCAAGTATATGTACTTATACATAATAATCTGGGTTAAAATCATGGTTAAATCATATTTAGTTGTGAACGATCAATATATATAATTTTATTTATTGAATTATACAAGCCTTTATTTACTGTAAAATTATGATGTTCTATGTTTAATTTCCTTATTTATGAATAAAGTTTATTATTATTTATAAATCTTGATGTATTCCTTTTTAAAGTTCGGTTAAAGAAGTATTTTACATAAATATTCAAAATAGTTTTTCACTGCGTTTTTTATTGTTTTGTAGTATAATTGGGTTTGCGGACCCTTAAGAATATGTAAAATTTGTTAATTTTTACTGGAAGCTTTCTATTTGCATATTTTACAATATTCGTGTCGTTTGCTTGTAAGTTTGAATTTAGATTTTCGATTTGAATTGGGCGGTTAGAAGGTTATAATAATTATAATATTTCATTTAGTTTAACGTAATATTAATATTTATATTAATTAAATTATGAATTTATTAAAATAAAAAAAACTTAAAATTTGTTCTAACAAATAAAATGACAATTCACAGTCACAGAGAGCCACAGTACTAGATATTCAGACGTTAGGAGAAGTTTTAATCCCACTTTGCATAGCAACTCATACCCCGAGGTGAGAAATGTAGCTAGAGCGTTGTGTCACTTTAAGCAAATATATGTATATAAGAAGAAAATTGAGCCATTTTGTGCAGAAATTTTACAATTAATTGGACAATAATTAAAATTACGCAGATTTTAAAGATGAACCGCAATATTTTTATAATACTATTCTTATTACACAGATAAGGAAGTATCATGTAATTAATTATCTTTGTGAAAAAAAGATAATTGTCACAATGTCCATTTTTATTTTAATTTGAAATAATTTAATGTAAAATGTAGTTTGGGACTGATGTGCACGACAAGGACTATTTAATATGAATTAATTACATTTTTTTATTAATTAAAAGTACTAGTATTAGCACAGTATAAAAAATATTATATAAAAATCCATACAAAAGGTGACCGTCTATTGATTTTAACGCAAAATGCAATAATTGCCAGAAATACAAACTTTCATGGCGAACGGTTTTGAAGTTTAAACACTATATTGTCATTTCATAGCTGGCTGTAACCGCCGACCATAAAGCCGTCTCCCAACTGTTATATGTACGTATGACACTCGGAAGAATTTCATCTGTCTAGACGGCTATTAGTAAACTCTGGTATCCATAACATAAAAAAAATCCCTTATGACATTTTTAGGGTTCCGTACCCAAAGGGTAAAACGGGACTCTATTACTATGACTCCGCTGTCCGTCTGTCTCTCATCAGGCTGTATTTCATAAACCGTGATAGTTAGTTAAATTTTTTACAGATATGTAAGTATTTCTGTTGCCGCTAAAACAACCAATACTAAAAAACAATAAAATAAATATTTAAGGGGCTCCCATACAACAAACATGATTTTTTTTGCTTGTTTTTGCTGGACATTGATAACGGCAACAGGTAGACTCTTGAAATATTCACAGGATATTTAGTTGTATATTCACTTTAGAAATAAATAATTAAATTAAAATTAAACAAATGTTTAAGGGGGGCTCCCATACACCAGACATGATTTTTTGCCGTTTTTATAGATAATGGTACGGAACCCTTCGTGCGCGTATTCGACGGCACTTGGCCGGGTTTTTTATTTAAACAAAAGTACTGGGTACACATAACTTATGAGGAGATCTAATTCCGCTCAAACCACCACAGGTGGTAGGCACGCCAACAGAAGAGAGCTGGTGCGGCGTGTCCCGGCTCCCGGGGCTCAGAGCGCACGTGTCCCGCTGGGGCGCGTGTCCCGCGCGTCCGCTGGCGGCCGCGTTCCCGCGCCTGCGGGACGCGGGGCGGGACGCGCAGCGGCTGGCCGCGTCGCTGCTGCAGCCGGACCCCGCGCGGAGGCTGGCCGCGCCCAGGGCGCTGACGCACGAATACTTCGCGCCTTTACCGCAACGCCTCCAGCACTTGCCGGACGGTGAGTTGTTATTTGTTGTTCTGTATTTTCCTTTGTTTGGACTATGGTCTGATCTTTCGTATTTGATCATAATACACAGTCATGTATATCTCAGTACAGAAGATTATTTGTAAATATATTTACTACTGATACTTGCTATTCCTTAACTAACAAAGACCTAGATGACAGCTTTGATAAGCAACGCGATGGTTTTATATGTTTCTTTTTGACAGAAAAGCTCAAAAGCTATTATTGCCGAACCCGAGACTCCAACACAGCATTTCATTATTTACAATTCACAATCCACCAACCGACTAAAGAGACGGTTGTGATTTTTTTAATTGTATGTTATATCCAAATAAGAGATTATAATTGTAACGCTAGTAAAATAGGTATAAAAGTTGTGGTCTGTTATATAAATTGATCATTATGCAACTAAAAATATATAAAGGTAAAACTGCGCCTACGTAGGAAGAATTTATCACTTCAAACTTAGTTGGTTATGCTGTACCATTGCGCTAAATGATAGTTAAGTCTTATATAATTATAATGACTAATCATGTCTGTGATTGTTGCAGAGGTGTCGATCTTCACGGTAGAAGGCGTGAGTTTACATCCAGAAGACTAGATCCACTTAGAATCTGTTCTCGTTCCTACCCATCGGGACATTATTAGTTAGTACCTTTCAATTCCTATAGTTTTAATGTACGGTCGAAATACGGTTCTTTCGTTTCGACGGACCAAAATTTCGTGATAGTCCAAACTTCTCTCCCCTCCTAGGAAAAATTAAGGCATATGCCCAATGTCGAAGGGGTTGCCAATTCGCTCGATTTGTATGTTGGATATACTTATTATGTTTTTAATACAGATTTGTCAACTCTAGAACTTATTTTTTTTATTATTTCAAAGAATTGTATGGATAATTGATAATTAGAAATATTTGATTATATATACTTAATTAGTAATTTTAAAATAAAAGTAATTTGAAAGCCAGTTATTGTTCAGTTTATCTAAGAATTAAATATGGTTGGTTCTTTAGGGATTAGATGTGCTTTTTTTATTGATCCGGAAATTCATCTAGAAACAAATATTGCGAATCGGCAACCCTAATCACCCTCAATCCGTCGATCGCTTCGACTTTATTGTTACATTAGCGCTTGTTAAGCTTCTAATATATCCATCCATGTAATTCAATTATTGTATGGTGACAAGGTATACTGATAGGTGTCGCGTGTACCGGGTTTGTATAAATATAACAGAGCAGTGTGCCATTTATCTATAAATGAAAGTACGACGTTATTTTAAAAGAAAAAGATTTTTACGCTAAATGCTCATAATTTTGGTAAAAATTTTGAAGATATTTATTTATATTATAAGGTTGGGATATATCATATTAACACGTATGATTTGATGCGAACAAAGATTTAATAAATGCTATATAATTTTGTATTCGAGCTTTATTTTTATTTGGCGTCTTAATGCACATTCCTGCGGTGCTATATGAACTTTATATTGAAATATCGGTCGAGATAGAGATGTAGTGGTGAGCTTTAATCGGAATCGATAACTTCGCGTTTACAACTCGCGATCGGAATCGTATGTTGTTATCGGATATTTCTAACATTATCGATAACGATTATATTATAGTTTTCTCGATTAAGGATTTTCGATTTCGATTGCGAGCTGTAACGATATAGATAAATGTAGGTTGTTAAATGTCTCTATCTTAACATGTTATTTGAAACGTTTCTCTCTTCACTATGCTTCTCGTGAAGCGAGCGATGGAATACTTTCAGTGTTAAATAAAGGGTGTTTGAATAAACTTAAACAGTCAAATGCCCTATAAATAGAGACGTCAACTAAATTAAATTTAAAATATCATGACAGATCTCAAGTTTTATTAAGTGTGGGACCGTCCTTTTGTAAAATAACGTGATAGGTTCGATTATTAAAATTATACTAATTAATCTGTACGACAATGTAGGTGAGGCTAGGTTTCTAGCTGATTAGTGAATTTACCAGTATAGTGAAATTTTAGTGGTCCCTCACATGTAAGGTTAGGGGTGCAATGTACGTAGACACCGGCACATTGGCAACTTGAAAGTATTATGATACTTTATCTTACTTAAAAGATTAGGACCGGTTTTATATCGATTTAAAAGTACACTGAAAATCTACACACCCGAGATAGGTAACATAGATGAAATCAAGGGCACGCGTTAGTCGATTAAAATGTGATTTTAAATAAAAATTGAAGGCAATAAATAGATTGTGAGCAAATTAAAATTTATACCAAGAAATTATACTTGACGACGCAATAATCATAAAAGATACACTAAAAGTCATATTATTACCCAACAGTTTTATATTCTCAACGAATCTAGAAATGTTCGAAGTCAGCGTCGTCTTTTAAAGATTTATTATAGTTTTCAATCTCGGGAACATCTCGCGAAGACAGTGTAAGTCTGCGACTAGATTTTCCCATTTCATTCGCTCAGAATATAAATCGACTAGGCAATAGCATGGTTATTTGAAGGAGTTGATAGCTTTTAAAACTTGTACTGTTTGGTCTGTTAACTGAGTTGTTTCCTTCAAATAATTAATCCCTCCACAACGGCGGACACGCCGGCGTGTCAGTTAACAATAGATTTCTTAGAATTTTAATTAATTTCTTAGAAATTTACCTGGAGGTGATAATATTATAGTGAGTTATATAAAAAGTTGTTAAATTGTGTTCGTTTCAAGAATATGATGTAAAGCAAAGTATGAGAACATTTTCATTTACTTCATGAAGCTTAGAAAATCATACGATAAAATAAAAGTCCGTGTGGACTCAGCCTTACATGTCGTATTTTCACTGCCACTTTACAGATACCATCTAGATAGGAAATAGTAATGTCGAGTTGTCAGTGTGCGCGGATAGTGCGTGTAATTAGTGTAGTGTAGTGAATACAGAGCTTTATACCCGTATTCATAGACGTCCCTTGAGTTAATACAAAGTACACGAGACTATAGCTATTGATAAAGAGGTTTTTCAATGATTCAGTCGAGCTTTCGATAAAATAAAATAAGTATTAGTTCTGCGCTTTGAGGAGTCAAAAAGCTTTTGATTATTTCATATTTGTTTTTCTATCCATTCATAATCTTAAGGGACGTGTAAGAGTACGGATCTTAGAATCGTAACATTGAGTGGGGAACGTCAATCGATCGAGCACAAAATTTTAGACTGTTGTATTTAGAATGTTAGAGTAGAAATTTGGATATTCGAATCGAGTTGAGTATTCGTTTACGGAAAAATATTTATATTTTTTAAATCAAATATTTTTTTTCACAGAAACAAAAAGTTATTCATATCGAACACTTTTTATTTGCGATTTATTTTGCTGCGTATTGTAAAGTTACGCTACAACAAAACGTTTATTCGAACCCGCTCTTTATAAAGTTTAATGAGGATAACATAGAATTTGTAGCATTCGACGTGAATGAATACCAACTTTGTACGTTATAAGTCGGATGCCGTTTCCCATTCTCTCGGCTTAGTTAACTCTAATTCGGCTCCAAACACCAAATTAGTGAGTAAATTGTATAGAAACGCAATACTTTTCAGTGTACATGATTTGTTGAGTTTTTCTACCGTAATAAGTGGAGGTCACCCGTTGAGTGAGGCACCGGCATCTTCGCGATGTGATGTAACATATGTGTATATTGTTCGATTACTGAGCATTTAACCGAGTGGCGAATATGTTGTGGCTATACACACGTTTCGTATCGATATTACAACTCCCAATTTATATAATATGGCATCAAAATTATATTTTAATGTACCAATAACTTGTGAAGATGCAATTTCACACATACATTTGATTAATAAACATTGTGGTTTATGAATAATTTTAGAATGTATAGAAATTACTTATGTTTGTGACTGGGAAACGCTACGAAATGAGTGTAATATAGCGAATGGCGATGTTGTCGCGTAATGCATTTGTAAGTGAAGAAGTTATGTTACAATTCTGATGAAAATGCGAAAGTTGTGTAAATAGTGGAATTAGTTTATACTTTAGTTCTCTCCAGTCCTATACATGTTGCCATTGCTGTTTGTTTATAGTGCGGGGACTTCATGAAACGATGTAATTATTATGAAAATCGGTGAAAAATATCCGATATTTCCTTGTTTCACAACGTCTTAAGGACAGTTGTCTTTGTTATTTTTATAGCTTATGAAGATTTTAGATTTATTTTCTGAATATTCTTCCACTATATAAATTGCATCGTTTTGTTGGAATTATTTTATATCTGTCAAAATCTTTCTTATATTAACCATTGATTTTCTAAGATTTTACAAAAGATTTGAATTTTGAAATTTTTTTTAATCTATTGTTTGAAAAGAACAATTAATATGTACTTCTTTGCTTACATGAAATTATACAAAATTAAATGTATTCTATAATAAAAATCAATTTAATTTATATAATAATCGGAGTAAATCTTTTGAATAAATATTTATTTTATTCGAATACATAATTTGAGGTACATAGCGCATACATACCTATTACCATTAATTAAATAGAAAGATACTGGCAGGTATAAATAGTCGCACATTCATGGGAATTATATGAGATTTATTTTAGTTATAATAATTATGTAGTAATTACGATTTTATTAACTTGATTTATACTGTTGCAATTTGACGAGCCGGTTTTATTTCATTTATTATACATAATTGTGTAAGCAATGTGCTTCTAATCATTTGAAAGAATGTAAATACGATATTTGAACTGATAATAATAAAAAAAAATATTTCTTAATGATTACTTGTGTTTTCTCTTTGATGTATCCTAAACCCAATTATTATTAATAATAACCTTTTTGTTTATGTACTTGAGGATTTTATAAAAAATATATTACATACACAATATAAATAGTAAGTACTTTTAATAATTTCATTTTCACACGCTTAAGGGATGATTTCCGGGATAAAAACTATCCTATATCCTTCCCAGGGTCTCAAACTATCTTCTTACCAAATTTCATTTAAATCGGTACAGTAGTTTCAGAGATTACTCCCTACAAACAAACTCACAAACTTACAAACTTTACCTCTATAATATTATATAGTATTAGTATATTTATATTAATATAGATCTATAAATAAATAATATGTATATACATAAATCTATTTACATATTTATTTCTTTTAAACCTATAAATAAAACTTCAAAGAAAGGGCTTCAGCTTACAATATAGAATATAGTAAAAGAAATCATAAAGATGAATTAAATTTTTCATTACCTTTGATAAAATATCTAATTTTGTCGACTTCAAAGGTATATTTATTTATATGAAAATTTAATGAACTCCGACAAATCTATTTCTAGGTTATAAAGGTAAGTGAAAATTAAATTTAATATAAAGAGTTTCATTTTCCCAAATAAAAACGTTGAAATTCGAGTGGTATATGTAAGTAAAATAATAATTATTAATTACATTTTAATTCTAAAGATCTACCCCTTAAATCTGCCTCGTTATATATCATGATGTCCAGGTTTCGAGTCCCGGGTAAGGCCACAATTACAACTGGGTTTTTCAGTCACGAAATAGGATCCTGGAGTTGAGAAGTGTCCA